AAAAAAAAAAAAAAAAAAAAAAAAAAAGGTATTCGAAGATTCTAATACATATATGACATGAATTTGATTGATGATTCAAGTGGTACACTAATAAAGTAGTGATGGTAGGTACTACTTAAGCATGGCTAAATTGAAAGGAACATGATGCTATACAGCACTTAGAACATTCAAAGACATTTCCTAGTAGTGATTCTTTTATCATGTTGGAGCCATAAGCATTGATAAGTAATTAAGATACCTAAGCATCAAAGGACTCTTTCATGATTCCATTCATCAACGTTAAATCATCTATCTTATACTGACTACATGTGTATCCAACGGTAAAAAAACCCAACGGGATGATACCGGTTCGAGACCGTAGCATAGAATTAACACATAGAATTACAAATCACCTAATAAAAACACATAGATTTGGAAGAATTAATTTGGCTCAAAACACCTATAAGAAACACATGAAATAAAGAAGAATTTGATAACACTTAACGAGGGAAAAAAAAAGTTTTTTGGTCCTTTATTTGCATACCGTTTTCACTTTGGTCCCGTAAATGGATCGTTTTTGGAAATAGTCCCATAAGTGAAAAAAAATTAGTTTTTTGGTCCTCTGACCGCCTACAGCAGGTCAGGTTTACCGGCTGCCTACGTGGAAATTCGCTCGATTTTTTTTTTGCTGAGTTGTATGCTTAGGTGGCGATTATGTGGCATAATTATAAAAAATATGCTAAAGAGAGGATTTGAACCCAAGTCCAATGGGTGAGTAAAAGAGCTTATGGACCACTTAATCTAGCACACTTTTTGTTAACTACTTAACTTCATTTATATATATACCAACATCGTTTTATCTAATTTATATTATTCAATTTGTACTACTTTTAAAATTTAATAATTTTTTTATATATTAAATAAATAGTATTTAATAATTTTCTAAATAAATATTTTAACGTATTTAATTAAATTAATTTGAATATTAAATAAATATTTATCAGAGAAATGAATAAAATAAATAATATAATAAATAATAAAATTTACCAAATAAATAAATATATTAAATAATATAATAAATAACATTACTTACCAAAAGAATAGATAAATTAAATAATATAATGTATAATATTTACCAAATAAATACATAAACTAAATAGTATAATATATAAATAATTATTTAATATATAAATATGTAAATTAAATAATATAGTAAATACATATTATAAATAAATAAAATAATTAATATGATTAAATTTCATTTCAATATTAAAAATATTTACTAAATAATAAAATATATTGAATAATGTAATAAATAATATATTAAATAATATAATTAATTTTTATTTGTGTATTAAATAAATATTGATCAAATAATAAATATATTAGATAATATAATAAATAAACAAATATTATTAAATATATACATCTATCAATTATTAAATAAATATATTAAATAATATATAAATAAATATACTAAATAATATAATAAGTAATAATATTTACCAAAAAATATATTAAATAATATAATAAATAAATAAATATTTAGTAAAATACATATATTAAATAACCTAATAAATAATATAATATATTAATTACGAACTAA